AATTGAGCCCCAAGGCAGGGACTCAAAATAATCTTTCTTTGCCTTTAAATCCAAACTTACAAAATACGTTTGTAAAGCAAATTAACAGGCTTTCTTTTAAAATACATACTCAATGAAGCAGCTCAAACTGTTAGCCACTCATTCATTTATTTAAAATATATTTTTATTGATTTCAGAGAGGAAGGGAGAGGGAGAGGTAGGAACATCAATGATGAGAGAAAATTTCATTGATCGGCTGCCTCCTGCACACCCCCTACTGGGGAATCGCCTGCAACCCCACATGTGCCCTTGACTGGAATCGAACTTGAGACGCTTCAGTCCGCAGGCCGACACTCTATCCACTGAGCCAAACCAGCTAGGGCCACTCACTCATTTTTCGAAAGCCTTTGGACTAGAACAGAGCGGACTTGTCTTTTCAGCTCTGATGCTACATCCCCCCGGGTCCCAGCGAACAGCCTGGTCACTGGGGAGTGCGACAGAGGCCTCCTGCCCACGGGCTCCCTTTGGGGATCTTCTCCGGGTCTGGGAATCTGAGCGGAGGGGACTCCTCCAGGCTCCGCAGGACTCTCCTCCTTTTCCACTCACTGCTCGAGCCAAGGTGCCCCCATCTCTGTTGGCCCCTGTTCCCTTCACCTCCAGCTTCGCCCACAGCCAGCCAGCGGTCAGCAGACATGGATGGCAGAGGGAGGAAGGCGAGGGGCAGCGCTGACCCTTCAGGTCCAGGTCAGAACGTGTTGTTCCTCTGCTCACCGCCAAGACCTCCGTCCACACTGGCCCGGGCAGAGGAACAGGAGGAAGACGGTTGGCCCCTGAGGAAGGGAAATGCCTGGGGCAGCCAGGGGCAGCCAAGGAAACGGGGGAGGGAACGATTTTTGAAATGCTGAAGGAGCCATTTCGGAGGCCAACTAGTGGAAGTGCATTTTGGCCTTTTCCTCATGACCTGAGCCAGTGAGTTTATTCCAGGCAGGAGAGGGCCTGGCCCAGCATCCCAGGGCCCCCGGGGGCTTCCAGAGGCAGCACAGGACTCAGTGCAGCAGCTGGTTTGCATCCTTGCTCCTCTTACAAAGGAATCTTGGGCAAGGCACCTGGCTACCCTGCTGGGTGCTCCTGGTTATGCATCACGGAGGAGCCGATGACCCCCCAGGGTCCCACCAGCGCAGACACCCAGTGGGAGACATGGAGATAACCCGCAACACCATCGGGCAGAGGCACAGACGGAGGGGTGCAGCGAGTTCCTGCCACTACAAGCCTGTCTGTGCTCTCGCAGCATCTGGGAGAGGACCCACATACCGCCAGCGCAGGTTGGGAGTTCTTTCACCTGTGGAATTGAATGAGGCATTCTTCCAGGTCTAACAGGGCGCCTCGGGCGGCTGTCATCCCAGGAAATACTTCCCACTGAGCAACTGGAGGATCGTGGGAAAGTCCCTGCCCATCTGAAAAGCCCCTCTCCCTGCACTCAGCCCAGGCAGGCGGGCCCCGTGACCTCAGGCCCGGTGACCTCAGGCCCTGGGACCTCACACGGACTAAGGGACTAGGAATGTGAACTCTCCCCAGCCCTGGACCTGCTTTCTTCTTTCTTTCTTTTCAATTGATTTTTATTTTACTTATGTTCCTATTGATTTCAGAGAGGAAGGGAGAGAGAGATAGAAACATCAATGATGAAGATCATTGATTGGCTGCCTCCCGCATGCCCCACACTAGGAATTGATTGAGCCTGAAACCCAGGCATGTTCCCTGACCAGGAATCGAACCTGCCACCTTTTAGTGTACAGGATGATGCTGCAACCAACTGAGCACCTGGCCAAGACCAGGCCCTGCTTCTAGGTGTCCGCCTGGTCCAGGCCTGATGAGCCGGTAGCACCCCCACATCCTACATCGATTGTCCTTCCCTGTCACAAGTGGCACAGAGGGCCCATGACAAAGACTCCTCATCCTTTCCTCTGGTTTCTGTAAAGAAGTTGGTCACCAGGTCTCCCCACCAGTCACATGTTCAAACACATATTTTTATTTTTCAAGCTGTTTCTGGGCATTTTTCCCTGTCCTATCAGGTATACGGACAGCACTTAGATTATGAAATTCAAAGGTGTCTGATGCCCTTTTCATTCTGTGGACTGTTCTCTGAAGGTACTGCCGTGTGAAGAGATGGAGAGGCACCCAGCCAGTGTGGCTCAGTGGTTGAGCATCGACCCAGGAGGTCATGGTTCCATTCCTGGTCAGGGTACATGCCCAGGTTACAGGTTCGATCCCCAATAGAGGGTGTGCAGGAGACAGCCGATCAATGATTCTCTCATCATTGATGCTTCTATCTCCCTCTCCCTTCCTCTCTGAAATCAATAAAAAATAAAAACAAAAATAAAAAGAAGTGGGCAAACTTCTAGACGCCATGTAATAGGAAAACGGCAGCTACCTAAGCGCCGACTCAGGCTCCAGGCTCCAGGCTGACGGAGCTCAGGGCTCAGACTGTTCTTGTAGCTCTTTGGAAAAAGCGCAGGCGGAGGATGCAAGAACGCCCTTTTTGAGTTAAAGGAGTCCACATGCAGTTCCAGGGGAGGGGTCTGGCTCAGAGACTGTTATTCTCCATCTCAGGGGTGTGGGCAAGGAAATGGTGACACGTCCAAGGTGAAGGACACATGCAGTGGAGTAAGCACAGTGCCAGGGAAAAGGGAAAGTGTGGTCAGCATCCCAGGAAAATACACACACCCTCCCGCGGGGAGCGGCTGTGGAAGAAACAGTGGAATGGGTCCTTTTCCTCCTCCTCCATGGGAAACAGCTCTGGGCGTGACTTCAGGGAACAATGAGGGGAGGAGTGAGGACAGAAGGGAGCACACAGGACGCTGGAACTGGGGAACAGGGAATGGGGGGCGGGGAGCAGGAAGGGGTAATGGAACTCCTTGAAGCCCTAAGGGTTAGGGCTCCATCCAGCATCATGTCATCTCTGGAGGCAGAATAGGTCACAAGGCGACCAGTGTGATGTGCCAACGCTGTTCTGAGGATCGGAGCTGCTCTTTCTTCTGCATCTTTCCTGGGAAGGGGGTGGGGGGCACCTGAACACAGAGGTGCTATAGACAGGCCTCCCCTTGTGCTCAGCTCACTCCTGCTCTCCCCGATATGCTGCTACAGCTCCCTCTCCTCTCCTGGCCCTGGCACGGCTCAGAAGGGCACCTCTGAGGAGAGCCAGGCCGATCCCTGGCTGCCAGCTGGGTCGCAGGAGCCTGTGCCCCCGCACAGACACGGAGGGAAGACCAGGGCACAAACCTGTGGGCATCTTCCCTCCCTGCCGTCGAGGCCAATGCCTGTCCCGTGGAAGAGGCTTGAGCCGTCTTCCAGGCAATCCCTCCGCGTAGCAGCAGGCGATACACATTCACGCTCCTGCTTTGGGGATTAGCCTCCCCTTTCTCTGTGTTATCTGGTGGCTTTCCAGACTCCCTTCCTCATTGTCACCCTGAAGAATCCCAGCCCGGTGACCAGGGCCCGACCTGAGAGCAGTTACCTGCCACCTCTCCTGGCAGAAGAGGCCTGCAGACCCCCCAGAGCCCACACCAGGGCCGCAGCTAGGGGATTGGAAGAAGTCATTTTCACTTCCCGGCGGACTGCAGGCCTCACTCCACCCCATCAGAACCTTCACAGGCCTTGCCACTGCCCTGTTCACACCCTGTGGCCCCCCGGGTACCAAGAGATGCTACCTGTGTAAGGCTGCAGGATGAGCTACACCGTTTATGGGGCCCTGTACAAAATGAAAATGCAGGGCCTTTTGTTCAAAAATTAAGAATTTGCCCAGCCAGTGTTGCTCAGTGGTTGAGCATCGACCTATGAATCAGGAGGTCACAGTACGATTCCCCATTAGGGCACATGCCCAGGTTGCTGGCTCCATCCCCAGTGTGGGGTGTGCAGGAGGCAGCCAACCAATGATTCTCTTTCATCATTGATGCTTCTCTCTCTTCCTCCCTCCCTGTTCCTCTCTGAAATCAATAAAAATATATTTTAAAAATGAACTCCCTAAGCCCTTCCTAGGTCCTTGACACTGTCCCTCTGGGTCACCCCAAGCAAAGAGAACATCTTATTTTTTAATTTTTTAAAAATATTTTTTTATTGATTTTAGAGAGGAAGGAAGAGGGAGAGATGGGAACATCAATGACGGGAGAGAATCATTGATCGGCTGCCTCCTGCACGCCCCACACTGGGGATCGAGCCCACAACCTGGGTATGTGCCCATGACCAGAATCGAACCTGGGACCTTTCAGTTCGCAGGCCGGCTCTCTATCCACTAGCCAACCAGCTAGGGCCAAGGAGAACATTTTAAATAATTAAGTAAAACTGAAAGGATTATGGAAGGACTAGAGAGGTGAGAACCTGTAAGCAAGGCAGCACGACTCCTCCAAGGTCGCAGGACCCCTCATGCCTGCATGAGTAAGCACACCCACGCACACATATGTAAGCACGCACACACATGTGTAAGCACACATGTAAGCACATGCACACATACTGTATATGTAACCACCTCCCCACCTAATGGAAAGTTCTACTTCCTCCTTTCTTTCTGAGACAAAGCAGGGCACCAGGCCTGTTCTTGGAAGCTACAGAAACCCAGCAGACACCCAGCCCTTGCTGGCCGGAGAAGGCCCTGAGCCCTGTGGTCCCCACTCTCAGCCTGGCTCCAGGGTCAGCACTGCAGTAAGAACACAAATACTTAAAAAGAAATAAAGTATTTTACTCAAACACACAAACACACTCTGAACCCCAGCTGGGAGCTGGTAGAACAGTTCGCGTCGTAGACCTGTCTGTCGTCCAGGGTCCTCCGGGCCCGGCTTCCTGAAGAGCGTGTCCCCCGGAGCCACAGCGCCCGGCCTCACCCGGGGCAGCATCAGGGCTGGGCCTGGATCAGAGGTGAGGAAGCCGATGACCAGGGACGGGCCCGGCTGCGGTCTCAGGCCTCGGCTCCAGGTCAGCGCTGGCATCCTCCTCTCCCCACCTCCCAGCCCCACTTCGGAGAATGAGAGAGGGGAGGAGCCGATGACCAGGGACGGGCCCGGCTGCCTGGGGCTGGAGGGACTGGCTGCGGACTCAGGCCTCCGCTCCAGGTCCGCGCCGGCATCCTCCTCTCCCCACCTCCCAGCCCCACTTCGGAGACTGAAGGAGGGGAGGGGCTCTGCTGGCTGGTCCTCCATCTCCAGAGTCCTGGGGATTCAGCTCAGTCTGTGGGGGGCCTGAGGCAGGGGTGCAGGTAGCGACCGGTGCTCAGCCCGCAGGGGTGCACGTTGGGGTGACCAGTGGACGGCCCCTGCCTCTACACCCCAGTCTGCTCTTTAATCCAGTCCCGAAAAATCGGGAGCCTCGTGTACACGCCTGGCTTGTCCCTCTGAGCGCAGCCTTCGCCCCAGCTCACCACGCCGGCCTGGAAGATCCGCCCATCTGCCTCCACGCTGGACAGGGGGCCCCCGGAATCGCCCTGAGGAGAGACAAGTCCTGAGTGTCCTGCCCACCTTCCCAGACCCACCCCGGCCGGCGCCCAGCACCCACCTGGCAGGCATCCACGCCCCCGCTCAGGTAGCCCACGCACATCATGCGGGGGGTGATCTGCTGCGGCAGCAGCTTCTCGCAGGTTGTCTGGTTGATGACGCGGATCTCGCCCTTCTGCAGGATCAGCACCACGGTGCCTGGCGAGAGGGCAGGGTGGGCTGAGCTGGGGGGGCAGGCGGGCTCCTGGGGCCACGCCACATGGGGACGGCACCCTCCAAGGTGCTCCCGCAGCAGTAACTGGACTAACAACATTCTGGACACAACCCAAGCCTGAGGCGGACAAACGGCTAAGTAACTGATGACGCATCTGCCGTCGGAGATTGTGCAGCCACGTAAGCCATTAGGTGGCAGGCCCCAAAAGACCCCCTATACACCACGGAACAGCTGTGAGAATAAGGAACAGAGAGCGGCCCTGGCAGTTTGCTCAGTGGTATGACTGCTGGTCCTTGGACCGAAGGGCCGCGGGTTCGATTCCCAGTCAAGGGCATGTACCTTGGTTGCAGGTTCCCCAGGTAGGGGCACATGCGGAAGGTGACTAATCAATGTGTCTCTTTCACTTTGATGTTTCTCTCTTTCTCTCCCTCTCTCTCTCTCTTCTCCCCTCGTCCCTCCCTCCCACTCTCCCTAGAAATCAATGGGGAAAATATCCTCAGGTGAGGATTTAAAAAAAAAAAAGGAGGAAGAAAGCACCATAAAATGCCTTAAGCCAGGTTATTTTTCTTTCCTCTCCATAGTCTACAGGTTCCAGCAGTGTAGTATAGCAGATCAGAATCAAGTGCTTCAATACAACATTTGCCAACTAAGGGCCCTCATGGAGGCAGAAGGAGAGAGGAGGCCGGGCTCCCACCACTGGTCCCCGATACAGGCCCCGCTCCACAGGCCCCTAAGTCACACTGTTTCCACACAGGGCTCTTATGTTCCCCGACACCCTTTATCTTCATTTTACAGAGAAATAAACAGGCTCAGAGTTTAAGCAACTCGCCAAAGTCATGCGACCAGGATGTCCACCCAAAGCCAGCCTCCCAGTCCTCTAAACCTCCCCCCCGCTGGTCCTACCAGGGGAGGGGGGGGCAGGCCAGCTCACCTCCCTCGTAGGTGTGGCCCCAGCCGGTGACCCAGATGGCCTTGCCCGTGGGGAAGTCGTGCGAGGTGTCGGGCAGGCAGATGGGCCGCACGGTGTTGCTGTACTCGACCGGCCGCTCCAGCTCCAGCAGCGCAATGTCGTAGTCAAAGGTGAAGTCGTTGAAGGAGGGGTGGCTGATGATGCGCTTCAGGCCGCGCTCCTGCACCCCCGGGGGGC